TTGTATCGACCTCGTAGGCATTCGGGAGCTTTCGGAGCAAGAAACGAAGAAACACGATTAAAAAAAGGTCAGGCACGACCGTGCCTAGGGGAGGCACGATCGTGCCTGCTATAAGGATGAGACGCGGAGACACTGCCAGCCAGACACGATCGTGTCCAGGGCAGGCACGATCGTGTCTGCATCCGAAGCGCGCGTTTGTTCCGCAGGCACGATCCCTGGCACGATCGTGCCTGACATTGTGTCTGGCCCCGATTTGTCCTATTTCAGCTTGAATTCTCCTGTTTTCTATGAATAAGGCCTCCATACCCACTTTTGAGGGTTACGAACTTTGGAGAGAGGCCTAGGGACGAGTTTTAACTGCGTTTTTACGTTGTTTAATCCAAGAACTTGGGATTCTTTGTAAGTTCAATTCTTTAATTAATGACAATTTATTCTATTCATCCCAATTCTTTTGATTCGTCAATTATGAGGCGTGAGTAGTTTAATTAGGGATGTGGGGTTGATGAAGGGGTTAATCATGATGTATGGCTAGATTCTTGTTGGTTTAATTGCATGAATACCGTTTAATTTGTGTTTGAATAATTTAACTGATATCTCTTGTAACCTAGACTGCAGCTAGAATTACAATTGCATGTAGAATGAATTAAGAGAGATCTAATTTGTTCTAGGACACATTCACACACACTTAATCGTTCGCTAAGAGATTAGTAGTGATTAAGGGGCCGTAAGCTCGCTCGTTTTGGCAATAATTTAGGATCTTGTCGCATGAGAGATCAGCCTGGACTCCTAAATTATTGTACTCTTCGCCGCGAGAGCGGTAAGAACTTAGTAATGATTAACTAGGCTCAATTAAATTAAATTCATGTAATTAGGCCTGTTCTGCCAGAAATCTGGTTAACCCCGGAATCAATTCATGTTCCCTTCGTCGTTAATTAAGGAAAACCAAATCTTTTTACCTGCTCCTTAGCATTAGTTTTATTTTAATGAATCAACCAATCTCGCACAATTGCACTTTCATTTTATTTTATTTCTTTTTAATCGCCGAATTTAGTTAATCTTTAATTCCCCTTTTTCCGTCCCTGTGGAGACGATACTCGTACTTTCAACCACTTTACTACATCCTTTTTGAGTGCGAGAAAACTCACATCAGTAAGCATACTAGTGGTGGAAATAAACTGATCAAAAAAATTTGAAACACACCGATTATTTCAATATTATAGAAACTACATATTGGGTCCGTTTGGATAAGTAGCGGGAGCATCAATCCGCTGATACATTTATACATGAAAACGCTGCTAAAAGCAGCGGGATGATGCCGGTCCGCTGAAAACCAAACAGCACCATTACCTATGTTTGAAATCCGGAAGATTCGTAATACACCTTCGCTGCAGTAAGTCGGATAGAATAGCAAGTAGAAAATTGCGAAGATCAGATTAGAAATACTGATTGAATCGTAATATGAGAGCAGCGAATAAAGATTCAACAAGGAGGTCGAAGATGAAGAAAGAAATTGGTGGATGAAGATGTAAGGTCTAGAAGAGATCTACGGGTGACTATCTTAGGTGCGGATGAAGAATCCATTGAATACGAGAAAAGGTCAAGATAGTTAAAATAACAAAAATGCCATTATGAATGACGGAAGATTGAAGGAAACGTGCGATGGAGATGGGCCTGGATGAGGGGATCAAACGGTGTAAATAACTTCTCATTTTTCAGTCTAAGATGGACTTCTCATGGGATCTTATCTCTCTCTTTCTCATGGGACCTCTATATATATATATATATATAGAGGAAAGTTCATGTCAGGACCTCCAAAAACGGACCTCCGTACGGACCTCGGCGTTTGGGCCCCTTCTCGGTGGAATTTGTTGATGAAATTTTTTGAGCATGTTCTTCATCAAGTCTAGTTTACTTATACCAAATTTCAGCTAAACATTCTATCGGGAAGGTAGTCAAATAACTTTTGGAAGTTTAACTGCATTTTATATGTATATAAAGTGCGCAGTTAACTTCAAAAAATCATTTGACTGCCTTCCCGATGGAATATTTAGCTGAAATTTGGTATGGGTAAACTAGACTTGATGAAGAACATGCTCAAAACTTTTCATCAAAAACTTCCACCGGGAAGGGGCCCAAACGTCGAGGTCCGTACGGAGGTCCGTTTTTGGAGGTCCTCACAGGAACACTACTATATATATATATATATATATATATATATATATATATATATATATATATATATATATATATACAGAAAAGATCAGGTCCCTCCGGAGGGACGGGATGGACCGTCCGAACTTTACTGTTTGGGGCGGTTCCCGGTGGAATTTTTTGATGAAATTTTTGGAGCATGTTCTTCATCAAGTCTAGTTTGTCCATACCAAATTTCAGCTCAAAATTCGAACGGGAAGGCAGTCAAATAAATTCTTGAAGCTTACTGCACATTCTGCGCATATCTAAAGTGCAGTAAGTTTCAAGAATTTATTTGACTGCCTCCCCGGTCGAGTTTTGAGCTGAAATTTGGTATGGAGAAACTAGACTTGATGAGGAACATGCTCAAAATATTTCATCAAAAAATTCCACCGGGAACCGCCCCAAACAGTAAAGTTCGGACAGTCCCTCCCGTCCCTCCGGAGGGACCTGAGCAGTCCTCTATATATATATATATATATACACACACACACACATATATGTATATATGTAGGGGAGGGTTCCAGACTTTCAGTGAGAAAGGACTCCCAGGAGAGAAATGAGAATGAATCTGGACTGTTGGATTGTATGATGTGAAATTGAACTGTGCATTTGGTAAAACTGAAATGTGCATTAAGTGAAATTGAAATGTGGAGAATGAAAAGTAAAACTCAAAATGTGCATTACGTGAAATTGAAATGTTCAGAATAAAAGACTCAAAAAAATGCCACCACGTCATAGTTTTATTCGGCACACTTCAGTTTCACCTAGTGCACATTTCAGCTTACCTTATATGTTGCACATTTCAATTTCACCTAATGCACATTTCAGTTTCACTAAATGCACATTCAATTTCACAAATTACAATCTAACGGTCCAGATTCATTCTCATTTCTCTCCTAAGATCATTTTCTCACTTGAACCTAATTCATATATATTAAATATAATTAAAATAAGGGCAAAGTTCAATCATATTTTGGGAAGGTTTTAATCACGCAATCTGGGATTAAATACGTTATATTTAGAAAATAAAACAGAATTGGATGGTCTTGTTAATTAAGAACTTTATCTATCATTTGGTATTATATTGAGAAATTTCTATTGATTAAGGTTTTGTTTGCAAGTGCTTGTGTTTAAATAAAAACACTTTTTTGGGAAAAAATGATTAGTAGTAAAAGTTGGCAGTGTTTAGTAAAATAAGTGCTTTTGTGTAATAGAAAAAGTAAAAAATAGATTCTAAACGAAAGTCGAGAAAAGTAAAAGTTGATAGTGTTTGGTAAAATAAGTGTTTTTTTTCTTAGGGAAAAGGTGCAAATATGCCCATGTACTAACCAAAAAAGGTCAAATAAGCCCTTATTTAAGAGGCTCTGTCCGGCCGTCGCCATTTGGGGTGGTTCCCGGTGGAATTTTTTGATGAAATTTTTTGAGCATCTTATTCATTAAGTCTAATTTACTCATATTAAATTTCAGCTAAAACTTCAATCGGGAAGGCATTCAAATGAATTCTTGAAAATAACTGCGTAGTTAGAAGCACAGTTATCTTCAAGGATTCATTTGAATGCCTTCCTAATTGAAGTTTTAGCTGAAATTTGGTATGCGTAAACTAGACTTGATGAATAAGATGCTCAAAAAATTTCATCAACAAATTCCACCGGGAACCACCCCAAATGACGACGACCGGACAGAGCTTCCTAAATAAGGGCTTATTTGACCTTTTTTTATTAGTACATCGGCCTATTTGCACCTTTTCTCTTTTTCTTAAAACAAAACCACAAGCACTTAATTTAAGAGTTTGCAAACAAGCCCTAAATTACAAATTGAACTCCCTTGACTGCATAGTCTCGTTCAAAACGCAGTGGCAACCCTTATGATGTTTTCTGTTGAATTGAAATTTACTGGTCTGATTTAATCTGGTCTAAACTAATCTGATCTGGTTTGGTAATATATGATTTCTATGTATTTTATAATTATGGAGATCTAGTCTTGTCTGAAAAAAATTAATGGACTACAAGTCGTCGCAGGACATGGATTTCCGGAAATATAAACAACCAAAGGTGTGGAAAAAATAATGCTCTCGCACTATGATAAAATTTAGAATTTAGTTGGCGTTGCTCAGCCAATTAGCGCCCAAACCATTAGTCCATTAGAGATATGACCAAATCACACTAAGATAGGTTGAACTTAACAAATAGTTATACGATAATTTTAGTTGGATTGCTTTACCAAAATGAAAAGTATCAAAAGAAAAATTTTAGTTGGATTGTTTTACCAATTATCCCTCCGTCCCCTTTTAAATGTCTCATTTTAACATATTGGAATATAATGTCCCTATATAATTGTCTCATATCTTATTTGGTAAATTTTGTGTGGCTCAAAATCTTTCTTACTTTATTCTTACTTTATCAATTAATATCAATCACACAAACTCACTTTTCTTAAAATTCATGCCACCTTTTTCCGGGACATTTAAAAGGGGACGGAGGGAGTAGTATATATAATATCACAAATCACATTTAACACATAATTGACAGAGTCCAATATGAGGGAGGTAATACATAATTGTGAGGTGTATAAGTGTATTAAATGTGGTATTTTATCTCATCTCACCCTCTAATCTCTATAAGTAATTCATTTATACTCCTATATGTTTTGTTTTGAGCGTACGTGGGACAAGAGATATATTTTGTACTTAAAGCTATATTCCGATCCCTTCAAGAATAAGTGGGGGCGGGGCGTGATTGAGAACAAAAGTTGGTGAGTATTTGGTATATAAAGGTGGGTAGGGGCATTGGGGGACTTAAGAAGTTAGTAATGATAGATTTGGTGAGTATTTGGTATATAAAGCATCAAAAGTTTAATTTCTCGTTCGGTGATATCCATATAATTAATTAATGGGAAGGCAACCTTGCTGTGATAAACTTGGAGTGAAGAAGGGGCCATGGACAGCTGAGGAAGACAGTAAGCTCATGGCCTTCATCCTCACCAATGGCCAATGCTGCTGGCGGGCCGTGCCGAAGCTTGCCGGCCTTCGCCGCTGCGGCAAGAGCTGCCGGCTCCGGTGGACTAACTACCTCCGCCCTGACCTCAAGAGAGGGCTTCTAAGTGAAACTGAGGAGAAACTGGTCATTGATCTTCATGCTCTTCTTGGTAATAGGTGAGTTAATTTATATATAGGTCCTATACAATTTATTACATTAATTTATATCAAACATTCATTTATTTGACAATTATAATCATTTCTTGGAGTGACTATAGTAACTCTTAGATACTACGATAGTATAATTGTATTTAATTTTACATTATAGTGATGTTACACTCATAATATAATTTTAATTATATTTTTATCCATTGGGTAAATTTCAGTAATATTTTAAGAGAAACTCTCTTTTTCATTTTGATATACGGAGTATTTTGTACTATTTTCTTTTATTTATATCTGCTTCAAAGTAGTTTCGATCAATATCCTCACTTCCTCAGTGACAGTGTTCTTTGACATAATTTAACTCATTCTACTATTCCAGAAATTAACTTCAAAATTTATACACCATTTTTCCAGAAATTAAATGAAAAATCAATTAGAGGGTATATATGTCAACTGTATTTAAGTCTGTCTTTTAATCATTTGTGTTAGCTTAGTGCAAGAACTATACATATTCCATGTAGATAGTTTCTACTTTAAAAAACAAGCCACACGTTTATCATAATTACACAAATGAAAGATGGGATCATGGAATGAAACAAATGATGAAAACGCATGCATGCCTATTACCAGAGGCACGTGGCTTATTCATCAATCTAGTACTGGATTTTTAAGGCAATACCGGTATTCCGGTAAGGCTACATTCCTGAATCTAAATTTTAGGTTATTCGGATATGGCTGCAGTTTTACCGTTTTAGAGTAGTTCGTACGAGGAAGCGGTTGAGCTCAGTCGATTGTCGACTCACTCTCTTATACGGAGAGTCTAGAGTTTGCTGCTTGTTTATACTACATTTATCAGAATTTTATTGTTCCTTGGATCTTAATAATGACTAATGAGTACAAAATATTATACTAAGACTTGAAGTTTCACCGAAAATTTCAAAATCATAGGAGTACGTGGTCCTTATTCGATATCATTGTTAGACACTTAGGCAGTACAATTTTTTTTGGCTTTACATTCTCTCTTTCTTATACTCTAGTATCTATATGTTAAATGCCAACATCCTTGTTTGGGATGAGTTTTGAACATGCGACCTCCTCATTAGGAGTGTCATAGTGATGTCATCGAACCACACGATGCTTGACACTTAGGCGGTATGAAATTAAAGTTCAATTTTCATGAGTAGTCCTAAGCAGGTTGCAAAATGAAGCGATATTGGAACTTCTTTTCCAAACGCGCTTGGAACTTAATTCAAATTTATTTATCCTTAAATTTAGGGCTTATGATTAGCCAATTTTCAAGACCCTTATTTACATTCTCAAGAGTTACAAAATGAAGATTATTGAACGTTACGTTTGGAACTTTTAACATTGATTTAAACTTTCATCATCCAAAAGAATATTTAAATAGTACGTAAACTAACTGTGGAATATATAATTAGGGCTATTTCCAAAACCTGTATTACATTACATTGTGAAAAAATACTACGTATAAAATTAGGGGATCGGTATTGGGTAATAATGTGTTTTATTCTTTCATACTACAAAAATTATAATATGTACTCCGTAATAATTGAAGAACTATCGAAAAGGAAAAAAAGGATTAAATGTTAAAATCAAGAAAGTATTAAATGATAAAGCAAGAAAGTATATGTGTGGCAAGAAAATCAATGGTTCTTCGGTCAGTTCGCAAAGTGCTCGGAGTGGTGTGGCCTTAGTACTGAGACGTACGGAAGCTAGAGGAGATCTTTGTAGTCAATCTAAACTTTAAAAATAATTATAATCATAAAATGTTATTAAGACACATATTAACTATTTTTTTCAGAAAAACCACTCTACAAAATGCGCATATTAATTATTTATGGCAGGTTTCTAACTGCTTAGTTGCACCGAAAACTACGATAGGTGTTGGTATTACTCCGTATATATATTGGTGCTCAGACATTTTTTTGGAAAAATATTACTCCGTAATAAAATAAAACTATTTTACAAAATACGACTAATAGTTACGACAATGTACGTTACGTAGTGTCATGATAACTTAAGTTTAAAAATTGAACATAAGTTACTATGATTCCATTACTAGAGAACTAGAGAATCACGAGTCACATTTTTATAAACAATCTTTTTTTAAATCCTAAATACTTAATCATTTCATATTTAATTCTCATTACTATATATACTGCGTACACCCTAAGATTAATGGAGAAAGGTGTTGTTTTCTTAAAAAACAATGGCCCCAAAAATTTTGGTGATATATTTTCATTGTTTGCATGTAACTTGCTGTTCTTCTAAACGACTCAAAATGGTATTGAAAAGGGACAGCTTGCCAATACATAATTGTTAAATTCTTTTCTTTGGGAAAAAGGTTAAAAAAGACATCAACTTCGAAAGCAGTGTCGCTTTTGTTATTATAGACACGTTCAGAAATGCTTATAGCAAAACTAATCATCTCATACTCTGAATTTTAAATTTAATCTAGTGAGTTGTGCATTTGTCCGTTTTCAATCACACAACTTTATATACTTCGTACATTTGGTATGAATTCAATCATGTTATTGTATCCACCCTTATATCCATCTCATATTTATCATATCTGTGAAAGTTCTTTTGTCTGTGAATCCGATTCACAAGCAAAATATATATATCATATTTTGTCTATACAAAATTTGCATAGACATATTTTGTTTTGTACAAACATGGTGGGTATAAAAATGGGTATAAGAGTGAGTACAAACAACTTTTTGTAATGAATTTGTCTACACAAGGTAACTTACAACAGAATGTACTATTTCTTTCGGAAAAAGTAAAGATGATAATGAATTTTCGGGTTTATTTTTGGCAGATAATGCACATCCCGAATGAGAATTCCCTAATATGAATAAATTTATACTATGTATATTAGAGTACCAATTTGCAACGGGATAAAATTATACGAGTACGTATTATAATTGAAAAAGTAAATTAAATGTGTCTCATATCCACGCATCTTTGAATATGTATTTTGATATGGGGAGAAGAATGAACATGTTGTTAGTCAAATTAAAGATATTGTATATGTAGTATTTCGCTTTATTAAATCAGTAAAACAGAACAAGCTACAAATCCTTTGAGCTGAAGAAGTGGACCATCTTTGATCATTTGACCTTATAAATTTGTATGATCAATTCAAGGGTTGGTGAAAAGATAGAGACTTGGCTGCTCAGTGCTCACCTACATCGACGTGTTTACATTTTGTCTTTCCCTACCTACCCACCCTGCATGCTTCAAGTTAGCCTTCGACCAAGTCCGGGTGGTGACCGGCCAATATCATTGTCATTTTCAGTGCCCAACTTGCTTTTGCTTCTTCAACATGAACTATGACCGCATACTATCTCCACTTTAAGAAATTCGAGTCATCATTGATATTGAATCAAATGTGATTACTCTACTATGAATCAAAATTATACAAATATTGTCAAATAGAATATGATGATTAAACTAGTACATCATGAATTAAATTATACAAATATTGTCAAATATAATATGAGATAAACTTAATAGAACGGACTATAAATACAAATATGACAAAGGTAATGAGATGGATAGATTATTGTTTAGTTCCTACAAATTTTGTTGAAACAAACTGACTCTCGCTACGACTTACTACAACCTCGTTTGGAGAAACGATGCTAGGAGATTGTCATGGGCGGGGTGAGTGGGAGGGGCAAACCAGGACCCCATCCACGTACTCGAAATTTGAAACAAACAGTAATTTTTTTTGAAAGAAAACTGATTATATTATATTCATCAAAGACCTCAACGTACTTCTCCCTTACAATGCCCAACCTCCTCACTCAGACCTCTAAAAGTGTTACCTTCCTTACAATGTCAAACCTCCTTTTGAGGCTCCGCATAGCCCAAAGCCCCCCCCCCCCCCCCCCCCCACTCTCTGGCTAGACTTAGAATAGACCACCCCCGAAAGAGCGAGAATATTCGCGAACCATGTGAGAGTTTCGAAGCTTTTAACGGCCAAACAAGCCTTGTCGCTTCCACCAGCAATAGTAATCCAAAGCAAAAAGAAAAGGTAAACCTCAACCTACCGCTAGAGTTCTAAACAAAAACAAAAGCAACATGAGTACCATAAAAGGAAAAACAGCAAAAATAAATAAAGTCTTCATGGCCCTCGGCCTTATTTAATTCAAAAAACTGCAGATTTGTAGCTCGCCTCCTCCCCGTTTTGTTCCTTCATTCTGAGCAATCTCCATATCTTCCCCTTTCTTGTGCTCTGCTGGATCCTCCACCCGTCTTCATTTCTGCTCAATGTATCCCCTCTCATGTGATGAGAGCCCGCCCTCCCCAGGACTTGGTTGCATGTTGTCCTCACTGTTTCCACTGGTAACCTTGTTAGCAGATCTGATTCCTTTCCCCGCTGGAACAAGCCATTTATTCTCTTTCCATTGCTTTGCCCCTTTTGTAGCTCTAAGCCAAGGACCAAAAGGTTTTTCCCCAGTGACATCGTAGCCCCGTTTCTTACGTGGGCAATGACTTTCCGCATGCCCTATTATTCCACACAAAAAACAGAAGCTAGGTAGCTTCTCATAGCAAAACCTGACACGGAAAGTGACTCCTTCCTCTTTTTGCAAAACCAATTTCCTTTTCAGAGGTTTCCCCAGATCAATACAAACGCGAATCCTCATAAAGGATTCCCAGTTCTCAGAAACGTTATTATCATCAACTCTTATAAAAGTTCCTAAAAAATTCCCAATTTGTTCTGCATTCTCAACAGTGAAATATCCCACTGGGATATCATGAACTTGAACCCAAAAATCTGCTTTATTAAGTGAAACAGACATAGGAATATCTCCCTCTTTTAGCCTACTCATAACAATTAAATTCTAATAAAAAGCCAAGGACCTTCCTCTTCAACCCTCATGACATCCTTCTCATTATAAAATTGAAAAACATAACTCCTATGACCAATTTCAGTTATGGAAACACCATTTTCCGGTTTCCACACAGATGCCATAATATCTCGAAATTGGGAAAAAACGTACCGATTTTTCCGATGTAATGGTCCCCACCTTGGTTAGATTGTGTTTCGCTAAGGGCTGAGCCATTGGTGCGACCACGAGAATCTCATCCTCTTCTTCCAGATCCAAACTTCCATAGGCTTTGGTCAGTGTTTCGACCCCAATGGTGTCGTTCTGCTCCATGTCGTTCGCCCAGGTCGCGGCTCCGAGCTCGCTCTCCAAGGCTGCCGTCCAAGACGCGTTCGCCGTGCGACGAAGCAGAAAACGTGGACGATTGAAAATCGCCGCACCAAACCTAGGCACTAGGCCTCCCGTCCGCAAACATACTTGTAATTTTAAAACTTTAAAGTCGTCCGACCCTATTTTTTAGCTTATCAATCGAAATTTTCATCAGACACATAACTTTTAGTTTCTCGCACTGAATCATTTTATAATAAAAATAAGTAATGTTGCAAATACTTTTATGGCCGAATTGGCTAAAGTTCTTGTAGAGAACTATTTTGGCTATTTTCATATCACTCTTTCTTTTTGTTTCATATTATTTTTTCTTTATTTTAATATAATTTTTCATAATTCAACAAAATCAGCCAATTCAACCACTTTAGCTAAAACTTCATAATTTCTGCAGAATCAGCCGATTTAGCTAATTTTAGTGTTACCAAACGAGCTCTTAAATTAAAAATTTATCTAAATCTTTTGTACCTGCTTGGTCCGACTTTTACTTTTGCCTACACCCTCTGACCCTCGTCAATTAGAGTCAGTAAATTTTGAAACAACGTGATCAATTGGGAGTTTGGGAGTTTGGGACTTGGGAAAGTTCTCTTTGTAAGTAGTACAAGGCCGTCCCAAACTGTAAATAAGTAGGGATGGGATCAATCCGGTTTTGGTCGGATTTTCGGTAAACCAAAAAATTACACGGCAGATCACGGATCATGACAATAAGGAACCAAGACAGGCTCATTCTATTTGCTCTGAGTTGGGTTTTATGGAATCGGGTTCGGTTCAGGTTCGGATAGGACCAATTAAAGCCCGGACGAGGAATTATGACATTGTCTTTTATATTTTAAAACATATTTTCAAATAAAATTACTTGAAAATACAAATCACAAATAATTACACAAACATTAGTCTCTGAAATCACCAACAGTTTAAATTCAATTAAAATATCCAATCTTAATATTGCGTTCAAGATACATAAAAAGAAATTATATTGGTTTTTTCAAAAATATTGGTAAATAAAATCTAGGGAAAAGGTCAAATAAGTCCTTATATTTTCAATTCATCACTTAAGCCCTTATACTAAAGTATCATAAAAGTACGTTTACTTTAAAAAGTTGATCAATTTGGCCATTTGTTAAGTTTTTGACCTATAATAGTAGATTTTTTATATTAAAAAACTTTAAAAATTGTTTACATTTGAAGAAATACAGATAAAAATCGTGAAAATTTTCAAAATGTCAAAGTCAATATTTTGAAAATATGAAATAGTTTTTATATTTTCAAAATTTTTGAAATGTCAAAAATTTGAAGAAATATTTTCAATATTTTTATATTTGAAAATATAGAAAATGCAATATTTGAAATATTGCATTTTCTTAACATGTGTGGTACTCAAATTAGGAAGTTTAAATAAGGACTGATGAAGTATAATAAATTGTACTCCCTCCGTCCCATAATTATCTTCATTCTTTCCTTTTTGGTCCGTCCCAAATTTATCTCCTCTTTCCTTTTTTAGCAAAGGATTTGTGGTTCACAACCATTCTTACACATTTCTCTCTCCTCTGCACAACTCTCCACCACACATTTCTCACTTTCTTAATCTCCGTGCCCAGTCAAAACTGAAGTTAATTCTGGGACGGAGGGAGTATTGATTATATATTTTTTTGCAGTTACTGAACTTTCATGCGTAATTTATAATTATTTAATTTGTAATTATTAAAATTAATGTGTATATATATACATACATAGAGAGCTCTTCTCATCAGGCCGGCCTGACGGGCTGCCCCGTCCGGCCGAGCCCGTTTGGGCACCTTCCCGGTGGATGTTTTTGATGAAAGTTTTTGAGCATGTTCCTCATCAAGTCTAGTTTGTCCATACCAAATTTCAGCTCAAAATTCAATCGGGAAGGTCGTGAAATGATTTTTGCAAGTTAACTGGTCCGGAAAATACATATTCCCGACCAGTTAACTTGAAAAAATCATTTGACGACCTTCCCGATTAAATTTTGAGCTGAAATGTGGTATGGATAAACTAGACTTGATGAGGAACATGCTCAAAAAATTTCATCAAAACATTCCACCGGGAAGGTGCCCAAACGGGCTCGGCCCGACGGGACAGCCCGTCAGGCCGGCCTGATGAGAAGAGCTCTCTCTCTATATATATATGTATATATATACACACACATACACACACATGCATATACTTCATGCGTAGTACTTGTATATAATAACTGGAAATTTAACTATATCATCACTATTCATGCATATACATAAAAACTTTGAAACTGGGTTAAGTTGTGGGAGTACGTGTGTTAAAAAATACAGGACAGTGCATACCAAGTGTCCTCCAAGTGTATAATAGAGGTTTGTGAATAAATGTATTAATCGAGTCTTTTATTTTTTATTATCAGATGGTCGAAGATTGCTTCAAGATTACCAGGAAGGACAGATAATGAGATTAAAAATCATTGGAACACCCACATTAAGAAAAAACTTCTTAAGATGGGAATAGATCCTGTTACACATGAACCTATCAACAACTACCCAAAGACAACAAGTGACAGTCAATCATCAATAACCACAAATAAACCGCCAACCTCTTCGCCAGACTCTGAGAAAAGATGCGGTGAACATCAGGTAGAAGTTGTTCCTCTTAGTTCATCCCCCATAGACGGGACCTCAGAAGAGCAGAGCTCTTCATGCTCACCAACTGAAAACTGCTCTTCCTCCATTACCACCACTGATGAATCCCATCTGATCATAGATATCATGGGTGATGAAGACGATCCCCTGCTCAGCTCCTTACTCGAAAACCATGCAACAATTCCACTAGAAGCATTGCGGGACAACCCATCACCTACTGTTGACCAGCCATCATTAATCTTTGACTTTGATGATCTTAATATCCCAACTTTGGTTGACTATGACTTGGATTGGCTGTTAAACTGTCAGGACTTCAGGATCAATAATTTTGGATTTGATTGCTTCAACGACGACACTGCTCAGTTGCACATTTTCGACACCGTAGACTCTGACGGAAAGTCACAATAATTTCAGTATATTACTCCGTATTATTAAGATAAGAAAATCGTTACTACTACTATCAAGTTAAATGAAATCACGAATGTCTTCGTAGGTATGTAGCTAGATTAACATCAAAGTATGCGAGGTTTTTCAACACTAAATGGTCATGCTGCACAAAGGTAACATGATATCTATATAATAAAGTGAGGTAGTTTTTTTTAGTACTTTACACGTAGTACCCTGTAAGATATATTGAAGAAATATCCAATTGCAAATGATGAGAGTTGTAGTTTCCAAATTGTATTTTATCTTGTACTTTAAAAAAATTGTCTCTCATAGACCATATTGTGAGTTGTGGCTACAATATAATGACTGTTTTCTTAGAAAGGTATTTAACTTTGCATCCACATTTCAGACAAAATAATGCTTTGTACGTGTTTTAAGAAATTATATGCACACATCCTATCGGTTCAAATATTTGAAAAGCAAGAGAATACAAATATTAATTTTTCAATCAAATGGGGTGCACACATGAACTATTTTGAAAATGAGGTGCCAATTTTTCACTCAAATATGAAATGCAAAATCAAAATGTCCTTTGCCTTTAAATTTCAAATAAAATACCTAAAGTATCAAAACCTAAATTTATCACCATCTGTGTTTTGATCCATTGGGTACTATTCGCCACTTCAATGTTGAAAATGTTAGGCTAGTACTACCTTCGTCCCACTAACATTGAGACTTTAAAGGAGGTGTTGCGGTTATTAAAAAAAGTAAGCTTATGTGGTTGATATTGAATTGATAAAGTAAGAATAAAGTTGGAATTATTTTAAGAGCCGAGGATGCTTATTTTAGGAATTAGCTATGCATTTAAGTGGATCAAATATTTAAGTGGTTCAGAAAAGTATAAAGAGTATATGGAAAAGAATCTGAGTTTGATTGAATATTGTTTTAGATATGATACAGGTGGGGGTACTGTTTGAGCAAGATAACAAGAAGAGCAACATACAGAACATAATCTGCTAGAGAATGGTTGGGCATAATTACTCAAAATGTTACTAGTAGCATTTGTTTAGTTTATTACATCAAGTATCTATTTATAGATTTTACATCAAAACATGCCCAGTTCATGTGTGCACCCCATTTGTAGGAACATTTACTAGTAACATTTGAGAATTCAAATATTAATTTTTCAATCAAATGGGGTGCACACATGAACTATTTTCGAAATAACCCGAACCACAACTAAAACAACCGAACCGCAAGAAAACCGAAACCGAACTCAAAAAACCGAACCGAACCGTAGTTGTTTGGTTTCGGTTTTGGTTTTCACATCTCAAAACCGAACCGAACCGAATAAACCGAACTTTTTAAAACTTGTTATTTTATTTATTAATCATAGAAAGATTAATTATAGAAAATTAATGTTTAATATATACTAGATTGATTTATAATGATTTGCAAGATATTGACATTTAATATTTATGATTTCATTAAGTGAAACACTTGTACATACACTTAAATCTATTGCTATAATACTAATATATTGATATATTAAATCATAATTTACATTTTTCCTGTTGTTGCATGATAATGATATTTTGTTGATATATTAAATGTTATGTATGTTTGTTATCACATAAATTTTATATTGAAAAAATATGTATTAATATAAACTATACTTTAAACAACATAGTAGAAAACGTGACACTTTAGAGCATGAATATCTTTGTATAAAAAGAAAGTAGAATTAGTTATTTACTAATAAAATTTTAACTTGCGAATATACTTTACATAATTCACAAATAAAATTTTGCGTTTAATTAATTTAGAAAATGCTTAAATTGGTATACACATACTCTCTAATTCCTTGTTTGGAAGTGCAATTGTTTCTTATCTCTTTTTTAATTATGTATGTTTTTGTATTGTATCACTATTAATGATAGTTTGATGTAGTTTATTTTTTTTTGTTTTTTTTCAATTACTAATTTTCTAATGAACAAAAATACTTTGGTAAAAACCGAAAAAACCGAAACTATACCGAAATAAACCGAACCGAACAAACCGTGGTTCCAAATTTTTGAACATAAAACCGAACCAAACTGAACCAAACTTTTTAATTTGGTTCAACATTTGGTTTTAGGTAAAAACCAACCGTTTGAACCGAACCCACCCCTACTGCCATTTTTTATTCCCAAAATAGGACTAATTACTACCATGTTTTAGCAGTACTAGACTTCAAACATTGCAGTTTTTATCAAACATGACAGTAATTACTCCTATTTTGGGAATAAAAAACATGATAGTCCTATTTTGGAATTTTCAAACTGGTTTAGTCCTATTTCGGGAACTTTCGCATGTTAGAACTAACTAACTAACTAAATATCTAACAAACTAACCATTTAACACAAGTCTAAAAGGCGGGTCAAGGAGGAAGATCCTTTGTCTCCATTTTTATTTATATTAGCATTTGAAGTTTTCTCTAGAGGGCTTAAGTGTCATATTTAGAGGGATGATATTAAACCATTTTGGATAGGGAGCCAAGGATATCCTTTGTCACATTTGGGTTTTTTTGATGATCTGCTAATTTTTCTGAACGGGGATTCCAGGTCATTAAATAACTTTAATAGTTTTTTAAAGTCTTACCAAACTGCTCTCGGCCAGACTGTAAACCTCAACAAAAGCTATTCTTTTTGTGGGAAGTTTGTGGGAGCTCGTATACACTATGGAAAGAATTCTTAAAATGAAGAGGTCTGAATTTCCAGTCAAGTATTTAGGTGTGAACCCGCACAAAGGTATAAACAAGTACAATTACTATATGGAGATCATCAATCCGTTTGAGGTGGTAGATTGGTGTTGATCCAGCATGTGCTCAGTGTTATCCCTTTGCATCTCCTATCAGCGTTGATACTCTGCCAAAGATCAGAAAACCATTAGTATTTTAGAAAGAAAGATGGCATCTTTCTTTTGGGATCCTAAAATAACAAAGTTAAATATCACTAGATTAAGTGGTCCCATCTTTGTAAACCTACTGATGAAGGTGGATTGGGAATCAGAGTCCTCACTGATATAGGAAATGCCTTCTCTCTAAAACTTTAGTGGAAATGAAAAAATTGTAATTCTCTATGGACTTATTTTATCAAAGGGATTCAAAGCTAGGTATTCTAGAGGCTCTAACATGATTCCAAAGATCACTGACTCTCTTATTTGGAGAAGGATCTGTTCAGTTCACTCTATTGGGATGTTCTTGTGTGAGGTTAACAGTGATGGGAATGTAATTGGGATTTGGAGGAGGATGGAGGATTCTCTTTTAAATCTGCATATGATGTAGTCCGGGAATGTCTTCCTAGTGCATTTTCATTTTCATGTTTGAAACTAAAACGTTAACTGAACACGACGCTCTTTAACCTTTGCAAACTCATCTATGACAAATTCAACGTCGATTTTGTTGGCAAATTCCTTTTCAATAAAGATGGTCAAACGATCGACAAGAAATTTATCTTTCATTTTGTTACAAATTTCATTCTTCACGAGTTTCATTCCCCAATAAACTGCCAATTATCTCCTATATTAGAATAGGAAAAAATTCAGTCCATATTTATGCCCCAATAAAAAAAAAAAAACTAAATGCCCCCATAAACCCATGTCTCTAACGTAATGCTGTATACTTCATACGGAGTATCTTGTAGCAGGGAAGTGGAGAACGACGGACAACTTTCTCAATTTCTTTAAGTGTTAAGTATCTAGTAAGTTGGCTATTAACTACTGTATTATTTGTTATGTGTTAAAATGTTATTGTTGAGGATCGATTCTTCTTCCGGCTCAGGTCTCCAACCCTTTTGTTGTACTCACACACACCACTCTAGACTAGACCACAACACAACTCACCATGTTTTATCTCCAACCACTAAGTACCTCTCTCAACTCACACACAAAGGAAGGAGAAAGCGTAGATGACTGCTCTCACTCTTGGAATATCTCACACGCAGGCTGCTCAAACAAGGAAGAAAGGAGCTAGCTAAATAATAGGCTGGCCAACACAAAGGACACTCACGGGTGATGCAAAGACAAGGAGGACTGCAACGGACAGCTCAAAGGGGTCACTCAACATAAGGCAAAATGGCCATATTATTGTTTAGGAGAGATTCAAAACAAGAGGTATCAAAGTGGGAGTAAACATGGGGTGCAAGTCAATAATAAAGTGGAAGGGAAGCCTTGGTAGGACCAATACCTCCAACATTCTTCACCTTATTGGTCCTAGGTGGTGTAGAGTAGCAATACAAAGTTGTGAGGAGACTCATCATCGCCGGACCATTACAAGTACATCATGCCGATCATACAAGTAATAGATGAGAACCAAAGTTCCCTTTCGGACCAAGCTTACCATGCAAACCCAATTCACGATGGACTGAACTCTACCAATAAGTCCTTGAGTTCAGAACCAAAACCATCACAAAACTATTAACAAGCACAACACATGTTAATAGACCATGCAAGCAAGCATCCGGGAGAAGTTGGGGATTCCAACTAATCCAACAATTAACACAGATGGAGCTCACATAATGAACCTGTTGGGTTAAGGGCCCGAGCCGAGGTCCGGCCCACTAACCCCATCTTACCAGACGGACGTCCAGAGAAGAACACAAGGCCAGCCCACAGGCCACTGTTCCTTGAGGATGGACGAGCATCCGGGGTTGGGAGTTCAGGCCCAGCGACTCACCCCGAAGAACGTCTATGCAGGGACAAAGAGCAGGGCCACGGGCCACCAGGGATGACGACGAACGGCCCTATGGCAAGCCTATAGTTACCGGTGGAAACCCAGTCCACATGGTGAGTATCTGTCAAGGCCAGGAGACGAACAGCCGGTATCTCTTGAAGGTCACTTGGAGCGATCCGACTCACTTCCCGGGCGGACGAACGTCCCCATTGATTAGGCGGGAAACCTAGATTCTGGCGGGAAGTGCATTTAATGCTGAAGATTTGGTAGTTGGGGCACCAGTGGTCCACAGGCTGCCACGTCAGCACAACCACCTGCCCATTGGTGGGTATAAATAGAAGCATTTAATTCATTGTAAAGGGTTGGCAACTTTCTATTCTTAGCATCTAGCTATTGTATTCTTACTCGCAGCATTTCTACTGCCTTGTAAGACGAACGGCCGACGTGCCCTTTTTAGCAAGTAGATTGTACTTAGGGGAGTTATTACGAAGTTAATAATACCTATTTACATTGCCTGCTATTTCCTTTGGTTCCTGATCCATCTGATAGTTGTTGGGCTAGATATTCATACATTCACTCCACTCGAAATCTTTGGGCTTACGTGTTGGGTCCAAGGGTTGAAGGAACAAACCTCAACACTGGCGCCGTCTGTGGGAAACTGAACA